CTTCTACACATACTTTCTTAATTACTGCCTCAAGATGTTAACCAGGCTGATGCCACCTAGTGATTCGGCTCAATTTCATTTCTCCCCAGCGACTAGGTCAGGAATCAAAATACAATAAACGTTTCGCAAAAACCCCAGAAGTGCAAGTTCGGGCCCCAGCCAATCAGGGAAGAGCCATACATTCAGTGTTGTAGACGATTCCCGAGATCGAGGATTTAAAGCCGGAATAAAGAGAATGTTTGGTGAATTTTATCAAGGGGAAAAAACGTTATTGCCCTTCTTCCTACGGCATTTGGGAAACGCTTAATATACCAGTTAGCCCCGTTAGTGGCGCATTACATACGTGACTACCAAATAGCAGCGATTGGTTAAATGATAAAAAGTACCTGCCTACCGTTGAGCGAGTGAATTTTAACACTGCAAAGTCAGATGGTTTGTACAAAGTGAAACGAAGTAAAACCGGCTGATGAATCAGGCTATCAAGCTGCTATGTCTTTATCACTTTGTTGCCAATTGTCAAGAGGCGACAAGTTGACCCCTCTTGATCTCCAAATACCTCGGTATTTTTAATTACCTTTCTTACAAAATTTCTAGGTGCTTTCTACTTGTGAAAATAATTCTTGAAGTGTGCTGTGTAACCAAAGGGATAAATGTATCGTTGCCTATACTCCAGCCTTTACAGAACAGTGTTATGAATGGTATGTTGTCAATATACTTGGATTCAACATGTGTAGTGTTTTTGGATATTGTGTTTTTAATTATTACATGTCTGGGGTTAGGACGCCTATAAATAGTTATACCTGCTGCTCACTCCATCAGCCCCGATGAAGACTAAGGAGTCAAAACGTGTTGGTGTGACAATTAATAAATACACCGCAAATCTTTCTTTCTATTCATACCTAGAGTTGTGTTTTGTTTCTTTCACACACGTCTCTTTATTATTAATCTGTCTACATCTCCAAAACTCAAAATGCTCTGTTCCATTAGTAGTAGTTTTCAGCTACCTTTTACCTTTTTATTTAATAGAGACTGACAATTCCTGGGCTGTAAATTATCCAAATGATTCTAGTGAAAGTGTATGAAGATAGAAACACGACATCATAAAGTGGAACAAGAGCAGAGCCTAAATACGCAGGATTTGTGTGTTAAACATGTGTGAATGAAACAAAACACAATTCCAGACATGTTTGTGATGAGTAAACAGCATTATAATAAGGTCATTTGGGCCCTAATGTACATACGATAAATACTGAGCCACAAAAATATAATGTCCCAGCTATCCTTAATAAAGTATAGGTCCATATAGTAATTATGGTGAATGGGCTGTCCTCTTTGTGCTGGCTGTGCTTTGTCCCTCTCTGAGCAGCTGTGGCAGAGACAGTGGCTATATGCAGAGCTGTTGAGGATGAACATGATCTTAATGAGGCGACTAATGACTTCTCTATTGTACTTTTCACTCTCTCTCCTCCTCCTCCTCTCAGGCTCTGCTCTCAGCCTCTCTGCTTTCGCTTATTGTCTCATCTTTACAGTTACAGTGCGGCACCATCTCTGTTGCCTAGGATACAGAATACACACTTCTTCAATATTTTATGAGGATGTGAGTCTGGTTACTGGTAAATATCCCTTCAGATGGGCATGACTGACAGGTGGTTTAGCCAATTAGGGGCATACACTGTCCACTGTGTTTGTCCACATAAAAATATTTCAGCAGAATTAAAGGTCCTATATTGAACAAAACTGACTATTGTGAGCTTTAAGCCGTGTTAGATGCTGTTACCTCATCAAAAAAGCATACCTGGAGTTGTGTTTTGTTTCATTCACACATGTTTGAGCAATCCTTTATTATTAGTCTGTCTACATCTCCAAAGCTCAAAATGCTCTGTTCCACCTTGTGATGTCACGAAGCGGTAGTTTTCAAGTTAACAGCCACCTTTTACCTAGCCTGATACATCAGCCAGTTTCACTTTGTAGAAACCGTCTGACCTCACAGCATTAGGATTCGTTCGCTTGACGGTAGGCGGGTACTTTTTTATTTAACCAATTAATGCTATTTGGTCGAGATGTACGTAATATGCCAGCTTCACAACTCTTCGCTGATTGGCTGATGCGTGGTCTACAACTTCCGGGGTTCTTGTAAACCGTGTACTGTATTCTGATTCCTGACTTAGATTCAAAACATTTTAGTGAAGGTGTTTGGAGTTTAAAAACACAGTGAGCACTTCCTGTACCACATGACATCCTAAGATAGAACAGAGTTTTTTCAGTTTAAGTGAAGAACTCAGTCTAAATATGCAGAATGTATCTGTTAAACATGTGTGAATGAAACTAAATTCAACTCCGGGTATGTTTTTGACGAGGAAACAACATTATAACATAGATTAGAAAATAGCATAATATGGGCCCTTTAAGTCAGACGCACACTGTGCGATTACAGAGACGCTTTTTCTCTCGTGCCACTGTTTTGGAGATCTGGCCCGAGGTTTGGCTTAATTGTGTGTCATGCTTCATCTAGTGTACATGGGGTAACGAGAACCGATTAATACATCATGGCCAGCTCCTGATCGACAATCATAGGTCGCAAGAATATAAAACCTGTTTGAAATCCATTCGCCACTTGTGAGGGTTTTGCACTGTTGAAGTAGTTCGTATAGTGTGGGAACATGAATCGTGATCTGTGAGCCTTTAAACTCTGTGATTTGGTCGTACAGTTTGAGCTTGGGTTGAGTGAAACAATTGAAAATACCGCACAGTGTATGTCCGGCATTAATGACTAATGCACTAAATTGTTAATCTGAAATAAGAGAAGTTTGTTTTTTGTTCAGAATGATAGTGACCAATGAGCTCCTTTGTTTCAGATGTGCCACTGAAATAAACAAATCTGATTGGACAGTACTGTTTGAATCTGGCTTGACCGATATCTAGTGATGTGAGGTGTGTAAGCGAGTCAGCTCTTTTGAATGGTTCCTTAATGTGAATATTTGGAACCCAATCCCAATTTTTTAAAATAACCAAATATTTATTTTTTTTTATAATGTGCTTGCTTTTTATACTGATTAACGCTAAACCAACACAAGAATCAGCACAGACACAGAGCAGACGACACAAGTGAGAGCTTTGTGCATAAAAACACACATTTGGCATCATAATAACTTTGTTTTTTAAGTATTATTATTCTTATAATGCAGTGCTTTATTTAGATGATGCATAATTTCAAAGGATAAACACACTCCCACTTTTAGTCTGAATTTTAAACAAGCCTTGGTCATCTCTCTCTGTGATTATTATTATAATTTTTTTTTTTTTTTTTAAGAAGAAGAATTTTGGGCACATTTTGACTAATTTTATTAATGTCTTAAATGTGTGTTAAAGGTGCACTGTGTAACTTTTTGATTGCAAGTCCATCACCTGTTTGTTTCTATGGATCGCTGCTCTGCCTGAAATGTTCCACAGTATGACATTAAACAGCTTGTCTTTACATTTATTCAATTACAGGTGGTCTTATAGCTCAAAAATACCAAGAGAAACAAGCCTTCTGACTGTGAGCGGGGTCACCTCTCCACAGATCTGACCTGTAACTTGGTCTGGTTTGGTTTCTATGATGATAGAAAGGCTTCATGCCATACTGTGAAACATTCCAGACTAAGCATTGACATCTCCATGGATTAAAGCATTTGATGGACTTTCCACCAAAAAGGTTACACAAAGGAGCTTTAAATGAGTTCTTACATTAGCTTCGGTCATGCAAATAGAGCCAGGCTTTTGAATCGCTCTTTGGCATGTACAGATGCAAAAGATTCAGATCCCATAAAAGAATCATAACTGATATCCCTCTGTATAAAAATAATTTCGGGCATCTCAGGTTGTGTCATAAACGCGTGGTGTTTCGCATTAAATAACGGAGACAAAAATAATATTCCCAATTTTGTTTGGAAAAGAAACAATGACATTTATTATTTTTTCGTAGCACTTTTCATAATTAGTCTGTTGTGCCCATTGATCACATATAATACAGTAAATATAAAAATGGCTTTTAACTTTACACCCAAAGCAACAACAAAATGTTTATCTTAAAATATGTATGCTAAAAAGTATTTCCACTAAAATTACTGGGGGGGTAGCCTGTGTTTCCGCGGTGATGTGATGATCTGGTTTTGCTCTCTCTCTTCTCCTCCGTTCACTTCATGTATTTCTTGTTGTAGGCACTTACCAGGAGATGGCACGGTCGTCATCTCGGCTTTAATTGACCTGTTATATTTGCTTCTGTCCAACGCATTTGTCCCAGTAGCTGATGCAAGGAGAACTACACAGCATAAACAGCCATTTGGCAAATGTCCTCTTGAGATACCCATTTTGAAGCACAATTTCATTAAGCTTAATGTGACGTTGTAATCAAAAGTAGTCTGCCGCTCGCCGTCATTAAAAACCCATTTCAGCTGTTCTGATACAGAGGATTTGTCATTACATCAACATAATAGAATATATATAACAATATCTCCATGAAAAATCAAGAATCCATTTTTAAATAGAAAACTGGGGTATATTTCGTCAAAAGTCATACACCATAGTCACTGTTGTAGCTCTACGCACTACTAAAATCTGCCTTCCCAATATATTCAGGTGTTATTACAGTATCTCTAACTCGTCTATGGGTGTTTGGACAAAGCACAGACGGTATTGCTTGGGGGGGGACCACACGGACAGTTCCACAACTCTGAACACATTTAACAGTCAATTACAAGAGAGTTGACCCCATCAACATCATCTGGAACCTGTTCTCCTCCTTTTGGCCTGCGTTTTCGGTGGAAATGGGAGCCTAAACTTTTTGCAGTGTATTTCGCAGCGCGCCATCGGCCTCTGCTCAAAGTTTCAAGCTGGGAGAGCATTGTTGACGTTTTGAGAAATGTTCGATCCCAGAGTTTATTGTGTCCAGCTATGGGTAATCGTCATTATTGTCCTTGCGTACCCATTGTCAGTTTAGTTACGTCATACTCAAAAGTTCTTTAAAAGGCATTGTCAGATACATTTATGACTGTGGCTTTAACTTCCACCCCGCTCGGTAGTCCTTTACCAGCAAACCACAGCTTTGTAAAGAAGGGAGAGTTCATACTGTTTTCCTCGGCGGGTGTCAGCGCCAGTTTCGACTCGCACTTTCTAATCTGCCCGTAAAGATGGTGGTTCCTTAGTGACACATAAATAAGAAGACAGGCCACTGATGTTGTTGCCAAAAGCACCCCGAAGATAGTTATCACGGCCGCATCCCATTTCTCTGTGTCCCTCACGGCCAGCTCGATCCCTTTAGTGGTGACATCCAGACATTTGGTTTCGTGGTTGTAATGGACGCCGTGGACCTCTACGCAGACTTTGTACAGCGTCGCCGGGCTGAGGTGCGTGAGGTTATACGCTCGGATATCAGATGGGACCCTGGTGGTGAATGCGGTCCTGGGATGGTCTGTCTCGCTCATGGTGTACCATTTAATATTGGGAGCCAGTGTCCCAGGGCCAGCCTTCCAGGAAAGCAATACCGAGTTTGTCTCCACTGAGTTGATTATGACATTCAAAGAGCCATTCACAGGCTGGGGGAAATAGCCATTCACTTCAACGGAGACCGATTTGAGATCTGCTCCGACAAGGTTATGGGCAACACATGTGTAAAGTCCCGCTTCATTCTCAGTGATGTCGTAAATGTCAAAAGTCCCCTCTGGGTGCATGTAGTACTTGTCAGAAACAGTATTGGGCAAGATTCTCATACCGGAGGGTGTGATCCAGTAAATTTCTGGCTCTGGTTCGGCGAAGGCGCGACAATGGAGCGACACGGAGCTGCCATTTTGTGTCTTGACGTGCCCGGGCATGCTTTCAGGAGAGATAAGAGGCAAGCAGATCTCCATCATCTCCCTGAAGTGCACCTGGCGTACATGCTGGCCCTCGTACTCGGGTGGTTCAACACAGTACAGAGAATCTGGCTCCATAAATCTAATGTTAGTTTTATTCATGTTCATCCAGCGCACCACGCAGTCACATCTAATAGGATTACTGTGCATGCTAACCTCTCGGAGATTTGGAAGGGACTCCACTGTGATCCGGTGAAGGGCGCTGAGTGCATTGCCATTTAGCATTAACGTTTCAAGCCGGGGGAGTTTGTAGAAAGCATTGGGGTGAATATAGGACAGTTTGGGGTTGTTGGTGGCTTCTATTTTGGTCAACTCCGGGAGATTACTAAGTGCGAAGCTGTCGATTGAAACTAACTCGGGCATGCTGTTAATTCCCAATTCTTTTAGATGAAACATATCCACAAAATCGCCTCTCTGTATTCTACTAATTGGATTCTTGTTAAGATCCAAAAACTTGAGATTTTTCACATTTTTCAGGGCTGAATGCGGCACCTCCGGAAATATGTTATCATAGAACGAAATGCTTTCTAAGTTTTCAAGGCCGGTGAGCGCGTCTTCAGGGAGCTGGGAGAGATTCATTCTGGTGAGGACGAGACTGCGAAGGTTACCGAGTGGTTTGAAATTCATATTCTCAATCGAAACAACTGGGTTTTCGCCAATCATCAGAATCTCAAGGTTCGGCATTGCTTCAAACCACTCTCTATTAATGGTTTTCAGTTTGTTTGAATTGAGGTGAAGGCGGACGAGGCTGCGCAGACCTTGAAAAGCCAACGGGGAGATGGACGAGATGAGGTTGTGATTCATGTATAGCTCTTGAAGGTTAGCTAGCTCCGCCAAACACCTTTCTGGCAACTCTTGTATCAAATTCTCCTCCAAGTGAAGCGACAGAAGCTGAGTGAGACTTCCGAAGTGGACATCGCTGAGAGACGCAACGTTATTTTGCGATAGATCGATTTCTGTGATGTTCGCCAAATAATCCAACGCTGTGTCCACCTTTACGATATTGTTTGTTTGCAGTAGCAGTACCTGTGTTGCCAGTGGTAGTTTCTCTGGGAGGCTGAATAATCCCAAGTCATTGCAGTCAATAGTGAGTGACTCCATGTACACCGAACTTGGCGAAAACCATGGTCGCATCTCGCAAATGCACAACTTGGGGCAGTCTGACTTATCCTCTGTACCGGCTACAAAAGAGGCCATAGCCAAGCCGAGAAAAAGGCAATCCACAAAAGACACCTCCTTCATATTGAAACGATTCCCTCCAGTAAAAATGGTCCGTGTATAGTTATCGGTATGAGTGGTAATTTGAAGAGAAATGTCTCATCTGTTGTATTTCCGAAGGTGGCTGACTCACCACCTTATTCCCACAGCTCCTAACTCCAGGTTGTGTCTTTCTGTTATGTACGTGCCCCTTGGTGTAATGACCAATCAGTCAGTGTTGCCCCGGGGAGCGAGGCGAGATATCCAAGATGGTGAGAGGAAGAGGAGGAGAAGGAGGAAGAAAAAAAGCTGGAAAGAGAAAAATCACGGGAAAAGGTGTCCTTGACCAAAATAGTTCTTTCTTGATCTAATGGAGATAGATGTCCTCATTGATTGTCGCCACTAGCTTCCAAAGTCAGCAAACCACTCCATTCCTTCCTGCAACACACAGAGAGAAGATGCATTAGTGTTACTTTAAAGTACATACCGAAGTAATTACCAAACTGTGAATAAAATCTAATTAGTACATGAAAAATACATGTATATTTTGGGGCTATGCATTTTCTTTTATATTATTTGTTGTCTTGTGTTTTTTGAATCATCAGAAACAAAAGTCATTTCATTGGTTAAAGGTGCACTATATCACTTTTCTCGTGCATGCCACTTTCTTGTCTTTATAGAGCTGTTGCAGTTTTGCCTGAAATGTTCCACACTATGTCTATATTTATATAATGATGGTCTGAACAGAAGACGCAAAAGTGGCATCATGTCTTCACTTTTTATTTCACATTTAGACAAGTGTTTTCAGGAGGAAATCTGCGTGGAAAAAGTGTGTGGAATTCGATTGGGTTTGCTTGTATTTAAAGCAACAAGGGGCGTCTTTGGACATATGGACGTTTTCAGGCCACGCGTTTTCATCACCTACTCCTTCCACAAAGTTGTCCCACCATCGACTGGTTCTCTTAGGTCTCGTCCAACCAGAATTTGACAGAGGTAATAGGAGATCCTTCTCTGTTCACTAATAGTATCTATGCATATTCTGTGCATTTGTTGTTGGGATGCCTCCTGTAAGTTTATTAAAAGCTTGAAGGTCCGATGCACGGAAAAGATTTGGCATGTTGGTTTCTGTGTTCTGTATGTATGTGACATAAACACGTATGCGACGTGAGCAGATCTGACCAGAGTTTTGCGTCTTGGGCAGTGTAGACGGAAACACTATGGCAGAGAGTATTCAAACTTTTCCAGTCTGGAGGGTGGTTTCAGATTTTTGCGTTTTTAAGCCCCAAAAATGCTGTCACCATCTAAATGAAAGGCACTTCCAATAAAACATTTTGTCAATTTTTACCCGTAAGCATTCTCGTGTAAACAGGCCCTATGACGTTAAATTACTTTTAAGCAGCAAACACTCTTGTAATTAAGTAAAAATAGATTAGACGCTTTTAAACTATACTGTAGAACAAGGAAAATCAGGTGGTGGACCCTCTCTTGTAATAGAAATAAAAGTTACACAGTGACACAGTTTAATTTGTAAGTAAACTCCTGTATTGGAATCACTGACGCAGTTGCAGATGTCTGTTGCGGCTATTTATCAGATTTCATTACATTACAATCTTGCTTGCTGGTAGTTTGCTTGGCGGGCGTGTCACGTCATAGAGGGATCTGGGCATATTGCATTCTATAATTACCACGGCGATGCATGTTGACATTTATTCTGCGCCCTTCCAGACTCCAAAGCTCAGATTTATATGTGCTTGACCTTCTTAACTTAATTTTGTAGACTTTACTGCACAGCCCCACAATATGTCATTCACTCCCCATCGCAGCGGTGTGAGTCTATTATTGGTTAAAGAGAAAGCTTTATTGGGATTCTTAAATGGCAGACATCCTGGGGTTTAAGCATTAGCCTTCGGGGTAAGCTTCTCTAATTCACTGCAATATGCCTGTCACCGTGGCAACCGGTCAACAAGAGCCACGGGGCGGAGCTAATGAGGAGCACACGTACGCTAAATAAGCAGTCGGTCGCAGATGCAGTTTGCACCTGTTTGTCTTAAAGATGCAAGTGGAGACGGGAAATGTACGGGTGATGTATGAGTGTGTCACCTCAGCTTTGTGCACTCAGAGGAATCCAAAAGGTTATTATTAGATTCATATTTGCAAATGCTAATTTGCTTTAAGTCATAAAGCCTTACAATGTAACTTTTTTGCCAAATTGACTAAAATATGTTTTTTATGCTTCTATTCTACTGAAAACCATAGAAAAATTGTGCTGAGAGCAGGCTTGCATTTCCACAAAACTCACTCTTACTTGATCATGGAAATGTTCTTCCTCCCTCGTGCCATAATATTCCAGAGTAAGGCATTAAACTCCACTGAAAATGTTCCAAAGTATGATTTTAACTTTTTATTTTCTATTTAGGTTCAGATTTTGGCAGAACTGCATTGGGGAAAAAATGCAAATAATAAAAATATATGCAGCTACAGCAGCCATGAACACAGAAGCAAGTAAAGAGTGTAGTGTATTGCCAAAAGTATTGGCGGTAACAGGAATAGAACCACCAGACAAAGCAAAATGTAAATGTAACCTAATCTACAACGCGCCTTACAGATAATTATAGATTTTTATCAGTCCAAGAGCAGCATATGAGCATGCTGTTTATGCAAAGCCAGATCTGAACCATATTTCTCTTCTGTGGCATTAATGTATTTCTTATGCATGACCTCTCAGTGAGCCTTTCTGTGCAGACTGTATTATTATAGCCCCCGCTGCTCCCTGCTGAGGCCTGAACTCTCATCATGTAATTTGTGGCATGTAACTGCAGTCTCCTGAGCGCAGGGAACTTGATGTCCCGTGTGATACGTTAGTCCTGTAGGGTTTGATATAAGGGAGAAGGCGTGAGTGACAGGACCAAATAGAAAGAATCTTGCGCAATGCGTTTGCAGCGAAAGAGAAGAAGAAAAGGCGGTGGCCATGGCTTCATTTCATCTTACGTCTTCCACACCTCAGCGCTCACAAGGGAGATGGAGAATGTAATAAATAAATGTAAAGTCAAGGCGGCAGAGACACAGACAGCAGTTTGCCCTATAATGTCGAACTCCAAACTGGGGTCTATAAACTCCTCTCAAATGAGTGATTGAGGGACACATTTGGGCCTAATGTCCACACAGAAATATCATGAAACTTGTCTTTTAAAGGCAAAAGGAGAAATTCAATTTGTCAACTGGACAGATTTATTTGGCCGAAGCGAAACGCATTTGACCAAATAAACTTTTGTCCAGTTGACAAATTGAATTTCTCCTTTTGAAATGGATTCTACCTGGATGACTGAGGGATTTTACACACTTGTATTTTAAAGGTCACATATTACGCAAAATTTGACTCTTGTGAGCTTTAAGCCATGTTAGAATGTTTGAATTACTCTTTGTTATTAGTCTGCCTGCATCTCCAAAGCTCAAAATGCTCTGTTCCACCTTGTGATGTCATGGAGCAAGGAGTCAAGTTGACGGCTACCTTTTACCTTTAGTTCAGAAGACGTGATTCTAGTGAAAATGTATGGATTTTAAAAACACAGTAGAGCATTTCCTGTATTGCCACATGACATCACAAGGTGGGACAGACTGTTTTCCATTTGAGAGAAGAAGAAAATGTGCAGTGTTTGTGTGTCAAACATGTGTGAATGAAACTAAACACAACCCAGGCGTATTTGTGATGAGGAAACAACATTATAACATAGAACATCATTTGGGAACAATCAATGAAATCTATTTGATGCCACTTTCGACCCACAGGAAAACTTCACGCAGTTTGCCATGGCTCGATCTTCATCTGGATACAGCGGAGATGTATAGAAAAGCACTGTTCGTATCGTCGCAGTGAGTTGTTTCTATGGAAACTCAAACACACTGACAGTGACTAAGCATGCATATTTCCATTAGGTTAAACTACATGGCATTGCTTATTCACCTTTACAGTGTTTACAAACAGAACACCTGCATTTTAAAGGCTGGTACTCTTCCATATCGTAGCTCCAATGCATTTTTAGTGGGAGAGTTTGCGTTAACCACTAAACTATGAAACTATGAAAAACACATCTTTTTTGGTGACAGAACCAGCCAACCTGCAATAAAAAATGACCATGTTTTCGAGCGAATAGGGCAGAAAACATAAATGCTAACAAACAAGTCATAAACATTACTTATGCCAGACAGTAATGCAACAAAGCGGGCCACAACAGTTTGACAATGAACTTTTAGTTTTATTTGATCATGCACTACAAATCCAATGGAGCTGCAAGTTAGATATTGACTCGTATTACTCATTGGCAAATTTAATGAACAAATAAACAACTGTGCTGTCTACAAACGTCAAGCTGAATGTCTTTATTTGGCTGCCTCATTAAAATGAATGGAATGCAGAGTTTATATGGCACCAGGCTGTGTGCGCAACAGTTTTAAACATGTCAGTTCTGGAAGAGTCTATAGCCTATGTACAGAAACGTAATTACATTTTAATTAGGAGATTGTAAAGTCACTGGGTTGATATATTATGTCAATATGAAGGTCGATCAGAATGGAACAAAAACTGGCTTCTATAGTTCAGTTCTTGGTGATACAGGATCTACTTCATTAATATCATAACCCTAACCTGCTAAAGATGCACTGTGTAACTTTTCACACTTATTTTTCTCGACAGGAACAGCAGGTGAGACATAAGAATAAGAGTAAGAATGCAAGTTTTAAGTCAATAAAAAACATGTTATTGAGTAAATGCAAAATGGATATGTTTAATGCCATACTGGGACATTCCAGTCAAAGAGGCAATATCTCCAACCAAATGATGGACCCTCCACCAGAAAAGTTACACAGTGCAGCTTTAAATAAGTAGTAACTAAGGCCCCATCCACACTAGTATGTATTCAAGTTGTTTTCATTGCGGATGCGGTGTTTGTTCACACTAATCCGATGGAAAACAGCTCCAGAGAAGGAACGATCTGGTGCCGCCAGCTTCCACAAATTCATCTGAGAACAGATCTGGTCCTGCACTGTGT